CTGCTAAGATCAACAATTGTCATCTTGGATCAGTTCAGCAATATGCAAACACTAATCCTCCAGTCCTAATTTAAACAGTTCCATCCAGTTTACCCCAAGGAAATTCTGGAGAGGAAGGGAAGAGAAAGAGGGATGAGACCTAAAGTCTTGCCTTTTCTCCCTGATGCTCGTGGCCTAGAGAAGGGTTCTGCAGCTCCTATCCAGCTCCCATCAGCAGGCATTGACAAAGGACGAGGTTTTCCTAAAGGCAACAGAGAACGTTATGAGGAATTACATTAAGTTTAGGAATACAATTTTTAAATTCATGCTTTTTACAATTAAGCAAAGGGAGAGATACAGCAATAGGAGTTAAAATTGCAGGAAAAAAAAATATTTCAAGATACTTCCACTGGTGAAATATAAGAAAGCAATGTGCAGAGACTGAACAGCCACACTCTTGCTCATTTACAGTAGCAGCAGACATAATGAGCGAAAGTTATAACCAAAATACACATGGAAATGGCCAACTGCATCAGCAAAGCCCAGCTGAATGACATCCATTAAAGAAATAACAGCATTTAAGTGAAATTATTTCAGATGTGGAATTTCATTCACATTCACAATGTGCACAGACTGCCCTTAATATCCATCAAGTCTGAATGAGCAGTTCTCTAACACAAATTATTCCAAATTGGCCAAAGCATTTAGCCTAACAGCAATAATGAAAGAGGAATGAACTCACCATAGGACTGTGTTTTTTCCCTCATCTTGGTTGGTAGGATATTTGCTTCCATGGAATACCCAGGCAACTGATCCGAATCAGCAATAGTAAACCTTCGCCTTCGACTCTCCTGATCCAGAAAAGAATTGGGAGACTCGGCGCCCTTGGACCCAGGCAGTGGTTGACTGGGTTTGTTGCCTCCTCCATATACAAAACTCCCCTTTTCATCTCTGAAAGGACATTTCACTTCAGTTAGTAACTAAAAAGAGTTTCATGCTACATACATGAGTAGGTTTGAAAGATACTTCTACCACCCAGTCATGCTCCTGACAACTAGCATTGTGCTTCAAACAAGCTGAAAAAAGACCCAAGTCAGGTGATGGAAGACTTCATTATAAACATATTTACCAAGGAGAAAAGAAAGCTCCCTCCTCTCATGCTAATTCACTTAACAAGCCAGTTGTTTAACTGAGAAGTTTAGAGGTACCACCCCTGAAAAAGCTTTCGAGAAATGAGACCTTTCTGCCGCAAGGGTATCAAAGCTCCCAATTCACTGCCTGCTCAGCACAAAGTTGTGACAGAGGACTGCATACATGGACTTATCCATCTCTGTGTAATGGCAACACCTATTGTCTCCACCTATGCTTTTACAGTCATTATAAGAGTCCAATAACTGCCACTGAATATTCATTACCTTCTCTCTCCATCCAAAAGTGAGACCCCCTTGAGAGTTTCAGTAATAAATTCAGAGTGTATATACATATGATTTTGAGCAATATTTGCAGGAACTCCCTTCCCAGAGTAATCCCTCATTCCAAGGGTCAGGAACAGCCATTTTTAGAAGCAGTCCTTGTGAGTACTTTCGGAAGAAAAGCTACCCTCCACGTTTTTGCCTGTTTTTTTTTCTTTTCCCCTTCCCTGTACATGCGACAAGCTTGCAGAAACCATCAGCCAAGTCAGGCATAAAAATAAACAGCCCCCTGGCCAGCGCATACCACTTTTTCCAGCTCTCCATCAAGAACAAAGCTAGAGCTCAGTGAATGGGAGGGAGCTATTTATGGACATTCAGGGCCCGAAAATTGCACAGAAGTGTTACACCAAAACCATATGTATGCAGAGAGCCCTCCTACCACACCATCATGTGGAGGTTGTACTGCAGGGAGGGAAACCAGTCACTGCTCTCTGCCTCCCCAGCGTGGACCAGAGAAGATCCATGCCAGGAAGGGAAGAGAATAGGATGATGGAGGGAGGGAAGAAATGACCACACAAATACATTGCAGTTTCAAGAGAAGAGCAAAACATGCAGAGGTGAAGTTAAATAGCCAAACAGAAGGCCAAAGAACTGCCCTTTCTCCTCTTCCTGGCTGCCACAGCTTCCTACATTTGTTGTCTTTAAAAGTCAAAATCAAGAAGCCTTCCCCTTTCCATACATCATCCAGGACAAATTTTATAGCTCACATTGCTACTTCCTTGTCAACAGGGATTCAGGTCTAAAGGCATCTGAAGCTAGATACAATTTTGTGACTCCTTTGGAAAAGTCTACCTTGGAGAAACCCTCTCCCCCAACCCCGGTACTGCCCCAAAGACTGCAGTAATACAACCTCCATCTCTGTATCCAGCCTTACATGACAGGAGGCAAGCTCTCCTCCCACATCAGTCCTGGAGCAAAAGGTCAGAGTTTCTGTGCTGGGCTATCTATAGGTAACCTGAAGTGTCAAGGCAGGCCAGGAAGCACGCCTCGCCTGAAAACTCTTTTGTCCTTCACCTTCCCAGGTTAGCTGGCAGGGTCTGGCATGTCAACACAGACTTGAGAACAAACAAAAGCTAGCCATACCATACACCCATACACCCACCCCCCCACCTTTTGGGAACACACACCTGCATTTTTATAGTTTACACCACAGGATAAAATTAAAGTTAAATGAATTGACTCTCCCTTCTCTTCAGTGGGAATATTCCCGTTTTAAACAATTTAGAACAAGTTCTTCTCTATCCGAATTCCCACAACAGTTACTTCACTTGCCAAGAAAAAAAAAAAATAATCAAAAACATAACCCCACAACAAAACCAGGGATGACATCCGTTCATGTTTTGGGAACAACTCTGATCTATGTGGCATACAATAATATTCTAATAATAAAATCTATTAGAATTCTGGTAGTTTATGCATTTAAGCATAAGCTTAAGCAATCCTATGCATTTAAGCAACTAGGAGAAAGTCTGTGAGATCCGCAATTTCCTCAAGCTAATCGGCACAGCGCTCTAACAGGAAATCAGCTCAGAAACAAGTGTAATAAAGGAGTTTTTTGTTCAATAGTGCATGTTTATTTGCATACCGAGGAGAATATGGAACAGCTGGTGGAGGTGGTATGTACAGATCCAAAATGGCTGGCTTCTCTTTTTTCAGTGAGGTATCCATGATGCTTTCTGGTGACTGGGTTGAAGTCGGCAGAGGACTGGTCTGAAATGTTAGACAGCTATCAAATGTCTGAGCATTGATTTATCATTCACAAAAAGATAATTCAATAATCAGTAGTATAATTTCATTCCCTAGCGAACTACTATTTCTATGCTTAATAAACACATTAAAAACTCTTAGCATTTTACTCCACCCCCAGTTTTGGCTAGCTTTGCAGTCCCTCCTACAGAAATCCTATCATGGGTAAAGAACTGCTCAAGAATATTTTGCTCTTTCCATTTCTATTTTTCCTGCAAATTCCATAGACAGAAAAAGCAAGAGACAAAACCCATTCTTCTATTTTTAGATCCATTAAAAGAATGCAATTTGTTAAATACAGATATGATCTGCAACACTTACAAAGCCAGCTCACACCACCCTTATTCCATACAGTCCAATGCTGGAGGCATGGGCAGGAATACCGTAAAGTTCACCACAAATTGCATCAAGGGATATAAGGAGGGTAAGGGAAGCAAAGGAAAAATGTATTTGGTATCGCTCATCTGAACAGGTTTGCCATTTTGCTCTTTGTGGCTCACTTCTACTTTCCCCAGCATCTTGCCAGGCTCCTGTCTGCTTCTCAGAGACAACAGGCTTGAAGGACCCTTGTCAGGCAAGAAGACTGCACTCTCCCCTTTTTGTCAAGGATGACCTGTGTCAGAACAGGAGCAGGAAT